GTAATTAAGGACTGCACTTTAAGCTTAGCCAAAAAGGATTTTAGTATAGACCTCATCCCAACCAAATTAGAAAGCTTTGACGTAGTTGTAGGTATGGATTGGCTATCCAAATATCGAGTTGAGATAGGTTGTTCGGAAAAGATTACCTGAATCCCGCAAGATGGAGTGCATTATTTGGGAGAACAAACCTTTTGAAATTATGTGTGATGCAAGCGATTGGGTAGTTGGTGCTGTTTTAGGTCAGAGAAGAGAGAAGGTGTTTCATTCAATTTATTACGCAAGTAAAATTTTAAATGAAGCACAGATAAACTACACCGCCACGGAAAAAGAATTATTGGTCGTAGTGTTTGCATTTGAAAGATTTAGATCATACTTGATGGGCACAAAAGTGATTGTGCATACTGATCATACAGCCATTAAATATTTGATTTCAAAAAAGGATGCAAAGCCTAGGTTGATAAGGTGGGTGTTGTTATTGCAGGAATTTGATTTGGAAATACGTGATAGGAAGGGTGTGGAAAATCAGGTAGCAGACCATTTATCTAGGTTAGAGAAACCTGAGATAGGGTGAGGTGACATTGTAGAGACCTTCCCGGATGAGAGAATCTTGATGTTGCAACAACAAAAAGCACCCTGGTTTGCAGATATAGCAAATTTCTTAGCTTGTGGCATCAAACCATCTGAATACACAAGCCACATGCTTAAAAAAAATTCATGATGTCAAATCTTATTTTTAGGATGACCCCTTTTTGTTTAAACTTGGTGCATATCAGCTTTTGAGAAGGTGCATTCCAGAGTCTGAGGTGGCAAAAGTATTGTATCAGTGTCATCAAGCTCCTTATGGAGGACATTTTGGAGGACAGAGAACTGCTGCCAAGGTCCTACAGTATGGTTTCTATTGGCCTACTCTTTTTAAGGATTCCCATAACTTTGCACAAAGATGCAATGAATACCAAAGAAGTGGTTCCATTTCTAAAAGAAATGAAATGCCACTACATGGGATCCTGGAAGTTGAGTTATTTGATGTTTAGGGAATAGACTTTATGGGTCCTTTCCCCCATCAAATAACTGCCAATACATACTGGTTGCTGTAGATTATGTCTCAAAATGGGTAGAAGCTGTATATGTGTTTCAAATGATGCCAAGACGGTGGTTAAGTTTCTTCAAAAGCAAATTTTTACACGGTTTGGTACTCCCAGAGCCTTAATAAGTGATGAGGGTACCCACTTTATAAATAATTTGTTAAGTGGAGTTCTTGCAAAATATAATGTTAACCACAAAATAGTCACAGCCTATCACCCACAGACAAATGGCTTAGCAGAGTTGTCCAATAGAGAAATAAAAAGTATTTTGGAAAAGGTTGTCAAGCCTAACAGGAAGGATTGGGCATTCAAGCTAGATGATGCTTTATGGGCATACAGAACCGCTTTCAAAACACCAATTGGTATGTCCCCATACAAGCTAGTCTATGGCAAGGCTTGCCATCTTCCGTTAGAGCTTGAGCATAAAGCATATTGGGCCATAAAAGAATTAAATTTTTCTTTAAAAGATGTTGGTTTGAAAAGGAAGCTACAACTCTGTGAACTGGATGAACATAGGTTGTTGTCCTATGAAAATGCCAAGCTCTATAAAGAGAAAACTAAAAGTTGGCATGACAAGAGAATACAACACAGAGAGTTGAGGGAAGGCCAGCATGTGCTTTTGTTTAATTCTAGACTGAAGTTATTCCCTAGAAAACTTAAGTTTAGATGGTCTGGGCCTTTTCTTGTTTCTAAAGTGTACCCTTATGAAGCAGTGGACTTGGTAAACCCGAAAGATAACTCTATTTTCAAGGTAAATGGCCAACGGGTAAAAGTGTACCATGATCCGGCAACAGTCTCAGAACAGCATTCTGAGAGCTGTGCTGCCCCCTGCTAAAAATCTCAAAATCCCCCTTGGACTTCTTAAAAGTCCACCTTTGTTTGTAAATAAGTTTTAATTTCATAGGTTATTTGTGTTTTAAAGTCTTTAAGGTTTAGTGTGATTTTGATTAAGAATTGGTTAACTGCTCATAATGCTGTAGCATTTCAGGCCTGTAGCTTTGTGTGAAATGGGAAAAGTTGGTTGAGCTTTATTTTTAAAAATTTTCTTCAAAAAGATTGTTTTTGGTAGTGTTTGAGAAGGTTTTAGCGCCTGATTTTTGTAAAGAAAAGAAAGAAGAAAGAGGGTTAAGGATAGATACAAAGTAATGGTCTTAGGGTAGTACAAAGGAGTACAAGGTACATTACATCACCTCTTATACCATCATCACCTACCTTTTCAGTCAAGGGTGAAAAATGTCACTTATTCAAATAGTTGGGGTCTAAATGTCACATAGTGAAAGGTTGGGGTTTGAGGGTTTTGTCTCATTTAATGAAGATAGTTGAAAGCTTTCTAATCCTTGTACTTTTTGTGTAAAACCACCGGCCATAACCCCCTAAACCCACTAAGTGCTTCTAAATCCATCATTAACTGCACCTTTTCTTTCTTAAACCACCCTTTCAATCACCCCCACTCTTCCCTCCTTTACTCTCCCCATCACTCTAAGAAATCACCACCATCACCGCCCTAAACCATTACCATTGTCGTAGCTTGCTGTCACATACCACCCCCCTCTATCTTTTCTCTCCATCTTCCTTCATTTACTTTCTCCACCATGGCTAGAGTCAAGAAAACTGTTGTCCGACCTCCATCAAGGGCGCCTGTTCAAAGAAGCAATCGTCGAAGCACTACTGTTAGACCAACAAATGAAGAACCAAAGTTGGTAGAACTTAGTGAAAACAGTTCTTCTCCATCATTGAGTGAAGAAGAGGCTGTTTCTACTCCTCCACAGCCGGCTATCCCTTCATCTTCCACCATGGCCGAACCTCCTGTGCAAGAACCAAGCCAAAGAAGGGTTCAAATCAATGATCTCAATGAGCCTCCTGTGGATGAACCAGAGCATGACATTGAGGTAATATTCCACCCTACTGTTATTGTGGAAGAATATGTATCCTCTGAATCAGAGGATGATGCCACTAAGGCAATGGATGTGGGAAGGGTCTATTTGCTTCCTTGGAATGATAAGACCACTCATGCCCCTATTCAAGAACATGTGGAGGC